ATGTAGAGAAATTAGAAAGAAACTCAGAAAGGTTAGGCAGTAAAGGAAAGAAAGAAGACTTACTTCATTTGTCTTTCTAGTTTAAAAGAATTCATAATTTACCTTGTAGCAGTTTGTTAGAAATACTTTTAATTCTCCATGTATTTTTAAATTTTAGACTTTGAAGACTTGGAAGGCAGGGAAAGGCTGTTTTTTCTCTAATGCTATTGTGAAGACATTATTATTTGTTAAATTTTAAAAGCAATATCTAGTGTCACTTCATTGCCTCCATCAGAGGGACTTCTTTCAGTTTTGTTTTCTTTTCGCAAGTGCCCATTTTCTTCTTTTTTCTTTTTTAGCTATTTCCTCTTCATCTAGCATTCATTTTTCAGTTTTTTTCATTCTCAATTAAAATTATTCTGGGACCAGCAGTTGGCATAATGGCTATGTTACTAGACTCCTATGTAGTTGACTGTGGTTCAAGTACCAAGCCAGGTGGCTTAAACTCATGCCGGGCACATGCACATGCATGCCCAAGATCCCGAGAGGAGAATGGAGGAGAAGGGATTGTGGCGTGGCCATTCCTCCTGGGGGGTGATTTCTCACTTCTTATCTCTCTCTGTCTTTCTGGTGAGCACAGATGCCTTATAGCAAAAACCTCTCAAAAAAAAAAAGAAAATTATTCATTCATTTGCTCAATTCAGTCATCATTGGCATTATTCAGGACAATCAAGACTAAAGAGTTTATTTAGAGTTTAAATTGAAACATTTTAAAAGTTTGTAAGCATTGGAGATATGTTAATATGCTAAATTTCTTGTGTTACAACTCTAGGAAGAATATACAAAAACAACAACATGAAGCCATTGTTGGAGCCCAGTGTGGCAATGCAGTGTTAAGAGGAGCCCATGTATATATTCCAGGAATTGTGTCAGCTTCGAAATGTAAGTGTAAGGTTTAGATATCTTTAAAGGTTTTTGGAGCCAACAGGTGGCGTGGTGGTTAAGGCGCTAGACTGCTCCCATATGACCAACCACAGTTTGAGTCCTGGGCCTGGCTGCTTGCTTTCTCACTTTATCTCTCATGAATGTGCATGCACTATAGCAAATTGAAGAAAAATGATAATGATAAATAAAATTGAATAAAAATTCTCTTTTTATAATGGTTTTCTAAAATTTACATGCATTTTAAAATATGAAATGTATTGTAATATCATCCAGCTGCATTTCAAATTTACCTGTGTCAGGAATTTTGCAAACTTTGCATTTAATGTAGTCAGTGAGGATTTTTGTCTGATAAGGTCTAATAAAAATCCATATAAGATCTTCTGCTAATTTTTAAATTTCTGTATAAGGATATATGTGATGATGTTGCTTAGAGGTTCAGTACTGGTGAGTAAAGGCAGTCTAAGATAGCAGTGAAGTTCCATCTTGTATATTTGACTCCAGTGCCATAAAACCTCAAGCTACCCTTCCACATTTGTGAGGGTAACATGCATATCCTGGGATCCAACCATTGGGATGAAACTTGCTGTTTTTTTTTTTTTTTTTTTTTCTTGCCAATCTTAGTATCTTGTCTTTGTGGTTTTGGTCAATCTGGCTATAATGTGTCTTGGAGAAGATCTTCTTGGGTTGATTCTATTTGG